ATTCTGACTTAAATCTCAGAATTTTTCATCTTAATGTAGATGGACACCATGAAGGATGAGATGTTGGAGCACTCAGCTTCAGTAACACATTGGTGGAAAATGATGGAATTAGTCGACTTTTTATACGCGGGAGGGGTCCCTGGTGATGCAATTTCATTAATGGAAGAGCAGAAAGTCATTAAAACAAGAGTTTAGTCTCTAAAACAGACATGGCTACGGCTTGTTGCTAACATGTTTGTTAGCTTTCAGAATTCTGAGATTAAAGTAAGAATTCTGACTTTTTTGTTAGTTAACTTTTTAAAATTTTTCAGTGGCACTAATCCTCTTCCATACTTAAGCCAGTGGAGCCAAGGTCACTTCAATTATAAGATGCCAATTGTAACACTATTGCATCAGTACTATTATAGAGGCAGTTATCTGCACTTTAAAAATAGATAGGGTGAGCAAGTTCATGACTCCTTCAGTCTCCAATCTACCTTTGTTTGAATTTCTGCGTGAACAGATTCTACAGATTAATTTTCTTTGTAGTAAATAGCGTTGTCACGATACTAAAATGTTCAGCTCGATACCTATACTCAAAAAAATATTCATTACTTGATACCATTTTTGATACCACAAAGATAAAAAAACAAAGACCCAAATATTTAACAAAAATATTTTTATCAATAAATAAAATGCAAAAAATAAATAAATAAATACAATAAACAATAGGAACAATATTTTGAGTTTGTATGCTGTGCACAATATTAAGCAAGCTTGATAAACAACTAACAAAATTAACTTAAGTATTCTTCCTTGGCACGCATTTCCCTCTTTTCTGCACTCTAGATAAATGACTATTTAGGTGCCACTGGTGGTAGCACTGTACCGATACTTTTTCAAAATGAAATTAAGTATCGTATCTGGATACAATGTTTTAGTATCGATACTTTTTTGAGTATCAATACTTTTGACAACCCTAGTATTTAATGGACAGGATATGTAATGGCCATAATTATAATCTTTTAAGCATCATATTAACTCCTAACTTGGCCAAAAGAAAAAAAAAAACAAACTTAAAAGCATTGCTACTTTTAAAGACAAATGATATTATCTGCCTAAGAGTGTAACATAGCTGGGTGTAGAGCTATCCTTCAGTTGTTTCTTCATATAAATACTAAAAGGAGAGAAATGGTCCATAAACTGATTATTCTAAATCTGTAAAACTAAAGAGTTGTAGCTATCTGTAAAAGTCTTGCAAGGGGGTCTCACATCTTTAAAAATCACACCAGATATTTTTAAAACTTTTAAAATGTATATCCTTACATCATGTCTGCGCATCATAACCCAGCAGTACTATGTTAGAACATGTTTGTTTTTCTTTATCCTCTGTCACAAAATTTAACAGCTAAAGTTTATAAATCCTGCGACTCTTCTAAATCTGAACATTTGCCTAATTTGACTATTAAATTTCTTTCATTGACATTATTTTTACCTTGGGTGAATTAGGAAATTATAATCTTATCTGGTTTGACTGTAGTTTTGACATATGAAGGTAGCTGGGGATGGGAGGATATGTGGCTGGACAGAGCCCTAATGGCTGATAACACATGCTTTTAATGAATCAAGGTTTGCATATTTATAATCATTATATATACAATTAATAACAATCTGGCCACTGTCCCTCATTTTCTTTGCCTTTAAAAAACGAGTGAAGAAGCCGAGTCATTTATATGCATGTCACTCTGCTCACTGATCAGCTGATAGCATCACTGCCACTCCCAACCATCTTATCCTTAGGTTTTGGATGCCAGTTCTTGTCTGATGTTGCAGATGCAATAAAAAACTAAAAGCAATTATTAGATTTTTATTTAGATCAGCTGAGCACTGCTGAAAATGATTTCTGTAATTTTGAAGATTAATGTTTAATTTTTTGATCAAATTAATCAGCGAAGTGCTGAGTTCAAGCAAAAGGCCAATTTTATGGAGTGGATTTTGTTCCGTTTTTTTGTTGGAAGAAAATGAAACTATGAAAAACCATGTTAAAAAAAGGTTTTAATAGTAACTGCGGTTTTCTCATGTTTCTTTTACAAATAGCATTTTTTTTTAATATTTTTCAGAAGTTATTTTTACAGATTGCAAGTTTTTAGAATTTATTCTTTACATTTTATTTCCATTTTTTTTTATCCAGATTTTATATTTCAAATTAAAAAAAATCTGGCTTTCAGATTGAGTTTAAGAAAAAGCTTTCTTTTCAGTTTGTTCTTTTTACTGAGGCTCAATATAAATGCTCCCTCTTGGCCAATAGAAATGGTGCTTACATCCTTGCACACCAATAGACATGATCCATGCTCCCCACTCCAATGGAAAGACCGCCCCCAAAGACAAAAAAACATTTCATTATTAAAATCCAGTTTCAGAAGAATGCAGTGTGTAAAAGTGAATCTGAAAAAGGGAAATAAAAAAGAAACAAAAAGTCTGTTAAACATTTGGCAGAAAAAAAAAGATAAATCTGAAAAAACAAAACAAAAAGCAAAATCTGAGAAAACAGCAAAGCTACTCACAAAGCCTTTTTTTTTATTAAAATGTTTTTCAAAGTTTAATTCCTCAATTTTGTGGGTTTTTTTTTTAATCAAACATGAGTTGTGCTTGCAATTATAATGGAGCAAAATTCTAAAATTGGTCTATGCAACTAACGGAAGTCAAACTTGTTTATAATAATTTTTGTGTGTTAAAGCAGTGGCACCAGAACAGACAATCCCTTTGCATGGAAATCTGTGTAAGCCTGTTTTTCTCAGTTCTGGCTGCTACCACAGTGTTAGAAGAAGCAATAGCTTTTGCCAGCAGATATGTAATGCTTGGCTTTTGTGTTTTTGTAACACCACCCATGTTAGGTTTGGTTCCTAATAAATGTTACCAGCAACAAAAACAAGGCGTCATACAAACTTGGAGACTTACTGTAAGAATTTTAGGAGAGCAATTTCATTCAGGGAACAATTATTTTTGTTTGCAAAATATCACACTTGGTAAATGGTGAACTTTTGTCGTCCCATAACTTACTTTGCGATCTTACTTTTTAACAATAGAAACATAATTTTAGTTTTAGTTATAGAGGTGGATATTACACATAACAATGCATTTGGATGCATACTGTTTTTTTTAGAGTTAAAAGTGTGATATATTTTCAAATGTGCTTCTATGCATGTTATATTGAAAACAAAATGACATTTTTGTCTGACTTTCAATTGTTGTTTGTTTTGACAGGATGGGATTCTTATAAGGAATGAATGAAAGAATCTATCCCTCATATCACTGCACTATTTATTATAACTGAAGGCAGAAGAACGAGGAGCAATCTGATCTTTCCTGTAGATCAGCATTTTATGGACAAACACTTGAGTGATCTCTTTTATTCAGTGCCTGTTTCTGGCAGGATGAGTTTCAGAAGGCTATGATGGCAAAAAAGCAAGATGCAAGGTCGCCCATTTACAACCTCATTGTGGTGGGTTTGTCAGGAACCGAGAAGGAGAAGGGCCAATGTGGGGTGGGCAAATCCTGCCTTTGTAATCGGTTTGTGCGCCCTAGTGCTGACGACTTCTACCTGGATCACACATCAGTGTTGAGCACCAGTGACTTTGGAGGTCGAGTGGTTAACAATGACCACTTTCTGTTTTGGGGGGAGGTGTCTCGGGTTCTGGAGGAGGGGCCTGAATGCAGGATGCATGTTGTGGAGCAAACGGAATTCATCGATGACCAGACATTTCAGCCACACCGTAGCACCGCTATGCAGCCCTATATCAAACGAGCAGCAGCAACCAAGTTGGCCTCAGCAGAGAAGCTCATGTACTTTTGTACAGATCAGCTGGGTCTGGAGCAAGACTTTGAGCAGAAGCAAATGCCAGAGGGGAAGCTGCAGGTGGACGGCTTCCTGCTTTGTGTTGACGTGAGCCGCGGGATGAACCGTAACTTTGATGACCAGCTGAAGTTTGTCACAAACCTTTACAGTCAGCTTAGCAAGACCAAGAAGCCCATTGTGTTGGTGCTCACCAAATGTGACGAAGGTGTTGAGCGCTACATCAAAGATGCGCATACCTTCGCCATTACAAAGAAAAGCCTCCCAGTGGTCGAAACCTCTGCTCGCTCAAATATAAATGTAGATCTTGCTTTCCTAACCTTGGTTCAGCTTATTGATAAAAGCAGGGGAAAGCCTAAGATCATACCTTATTTTGAAGCCTTGAAACTACAGAGTCAGCAGATCGCCTCAGCCAAGGATCGTTATGAATGGCTCATCAACCGTATCGTCAAAAATCACAATGAGACCTGGTTAAACGCCAGTCGACGGATGAACACCTCCCCAGAGTACAAAGAATACGTCTTCTTGGAAGGAACGGCTAAATGCAAAAAGCTTTTCCAACAACATGTCTACCGCCTGAAGCAGGAGCACATAGAGAGGCGGCGCAGGATATACCTTAGCACTCTCCCTTTAGCACTTAGTTCACTGGTGCCAGATCTTGATGAGATAGATCAGCTGAGCTGGTCTGGAGTGCAGAAAGTGCTGGAGTCCAAGCAACATTTTACTCACTGGTTTGTTGTCTTGGAGGATTCACCATGGGAAGATACGTCTCACATAGACAACATGGAGGATGAGCGAATCCCCTCAGACCTGCTGGAGACTGCTGAGGCAGAAGATATTTTCAATGCTCATTTGGAGCATCTAAGAAATGAATGTAGGCGTGCAGAGATAAGACAAGAGTTTAAGCAAAAGCTAGCATCCTCGCCCTTTGTCACGCCAGGTAAACCTTGGGAGGAGGCCCGCAGCTTCATCATGAACGAAGAGTTCTACCAGTGGCTCGAGGAGCCAGAGTACTTGGAACTGTACAACCGCCATCAGAAGGAGATTATTGACCGAGCTAAAGAAGACTTTCAGGAGCTTCTGCTCGAATACTCTGAGCTTTTTTATGAGCTCGAAGTTGATGCGAAGCCTAGCAAAGAGAAGATGGGAGCAATACAGGAGGTTCTAGGAGAAGAGCTGAGGTTTAAGGCACTGCAAAAGCTGCCTGCAGAAAGGGATGCTCTTGTGCTTAAGCACATCCACTTTGTCTATCACCCCACCAAGGAGACCTGCCCCAGTAGCCCTCACTGTGGTGACTATAAGATTGAGCAACTCCTAGCCTCTCGTTTTCCCACATGTTACCCCTTCTTTGACGTGAAAGCTCATTTTGGGGACACTAAAGCTGATAGAATTAACTTGGTCATTCTAGGGAAGGACGGGCTGGCCAGAGAATTCGCCAATGAGATTAGGGCTCTGTGCACAAATGACGATTGGTACGTTTTAGATGGGAAGATGTATGAGTTAACTCTGCGGCCTATAGAGGGAAATGTGCGTCTTCCAGTAAATTCCTTCCACACTCCCACTTTTACCCCTCATGGGTGTCTTTGTCTGTATAATTCAAAAGATTCACTGTCTTATGTGGTAGAAAGCCTCGAGCGACTTAGAGAATCAACTCTTGGTCGAAGGGATAGTCAGCTGGCCCAACTGCCAACGTCTCTCCTTTTAGTCACTAAAAGGGGTGTGGGCTCATACGTTGACATAGGTGGAGACACTGCCTTAAACCTAATAACACAGGGACAACAGGTTGCTCGGAGACTGCAGTGTAGCTTTTTAGACCCAGCCTCCCCCGGCGTGGGCTATGGCCACAGCGTAAATGAAACTCAGATTAACCAAGTGCTTAGGGGGCTCCTTGATGTTAGAAGGAGCACATCTTTTAGTAGCAGCTCCCCGCCTCACCTGCCCGAGCCTCCAGGTATCAGAGACTCTCCTCATCAGCCAGCCCCAGAGGCAGACCTACGCATTGTCATGTGCTTAATGTGCGGCGATCCCTATGACATCGAACAGCTCTTGTCTCCTTTCCTTATGCATCAGCACTGCAGACCAATGTCGAACTGTGGCACTTCTGTGTTGCTAGAGCAGACAGTTGGGGGTCACAAGCTGGCCATAGAGCTTTCTCTCCTCTCCTACCATGCCTCTTTTACTCTGAGGAAGAGCAGGTTGGTGCACGGCTACATTGCTGTGTACTCAGCCGTCCGGAAAGCTTCCCTAGAGACCCTGTGTGCATTTTTATGTGAGGTTCAGGACATTATCCCTGTTCAGCTGTTGGCAGTAGGAGATAGCAAGGCAGAGCTCACTGATAGTGACTTTGCCTGTGAACAGCTGATTCAGGGGGAGGAGCTGGCTCGTGAGATTGAGGGTCGCTTCAATAGTGTGGTTTGTGGATCCGGGGGAGTGATAGGAGGCCTCCACAGAATTGAAATGTTCCATTCATTTCTGATGGAGGTAGTGGAGAAGCGAAACATCGTGGAGGCAACGCATATGTATGACAACGTTGCTGAAGCATGCACCAATGAAAACGTATACTCCCCGCGCTGCATCTCTCCTAGTCCTGTTACCATGTTCGTGGATTCAGAGGATGATGTTGAGCCTTCTCCCCCGTACTATGATGGCACGCTCTCTTCTCACAGCGGTGGCTTCAACATGCCTGACTTAGACTCCAGCGACATCTCTGTCATTTCTGATATCAGAGACTTTGAAAACAAGCTCAACAACAAAATACCCCCCCCAGTAAGGGGGAAACCAGGCGTCACTTTTGACTTCCGGAAAGTGAGTCGCAGCCCTTACATCGACACTCTAGGTCACCGTCGGTCCCTGCCCTCTGCTGTGACCTGGGTCCCTGGCGGGGATGTGGGTTACGATCCCTCAGACTACGCAGAGCCTATCGATGCCGTCTCAAAACCCCGCCCCAGCAACGAAGAGATCATCTACTCGGTTCCACACGACAGCACACAGGGCAAAATCATAACCATCCGCAACTCCAACCGGATGCATTCAAACGGAAATGGCTCAGACAGCGAGGCGGACAGCAGCTCTTTGGAACGAAGGAGGAAGTTCTCAGCAGTCGGAGTGAAGCCCCGTCTGTACCGCGACCGCTCAAAACGGCTGGGCAAGTTCAGCAGCTTCCGGACAAGCTTTATAGGAAGCGACGACGAAATGGGAGCTCTGTCAAAGTCCAAAGATGATGACTTTGGGACTTTAAAAGGTGACAGTCTTGTTAACGAGGAGATTGAGGACCCAAAGAAGAGGAACATTCTAAAGAGCCTCAGGCGAACTGCAAAGGTATGGAATATCAATATAAATTGTAGGTGTAATAATGCAGAGCTATTTCATTTTTCTAATACCATTGATCTGCCTTTGAAGTCTTTAAAATTAGCTGTCACTGTGAGGGACAACTGAGCATTATTTTAAACTCCTCATGCAATCCATCTCTCGGCAGAAAACAAGACCAAAGCCACGTCCATCAATTCCCAAGCCCATGGAGAGCAGCTACTTTGGAGTGCCGCTGGCGAGTGTGGTGTCCCCAGACAGACCTATTCCACTTTTCATCGAGAAGTGTGTCCACTTCATTGAGAAAACTGGTAAGTTCCTTTGGAGTATTATGAAGGTTAGAAAACAACAATCATTTGGTGTTAAAGTTCAGTTTGTACTGTTGTGAACAGACTGATTGACGCTGAAGGCTCGGCTGAATTTACAGCGTGAAATATGAGTATGTTGCATAATGAGCATTCCCTATTAGTCCTAGCATGCAGCCTGTGGTTATTGCCACTTAAATAAGTGATTTGCTTTTTACACGGCTTTTTAAAAAATCCATAAAAAGAATTGGCTTTAATGTGCTTTATAATACAAGGAAAGTGGAAAAATTAAAACAATTTCATTCATCAGTAAAAAGGCTAAACAAGAACATAGCATCTAGCTTTTCAAGATCAATACCTTCAATATTAATTTCTTTTTATGGCTGAAATAATCTGATATCTATATTAATCAAATGTTTTAAAGCCAAATGCTGTTCAGTTGAATCAGTGCCGACTTGTTCATAAATCCACTGGAAGCAGCAGTCCTGCTCCAGGCTGCTGGCTGAACCATTTTAATCATAAATGTTGTTTAAATGCGCTTTTTAAAATGGTTTGAATGGCGGTACATCTTTTTATGTGTTACACTTAGTTACAGAACTAGAACTACCCAGTTTCCCCACATGGTGGAAGAAAAAATCTAAGTAGTAAATAATGTCACTTAAAATAGATGTTTCTCACAAACCCCTTCTTAAATCTTACGTCTTTAAAAACCTGGAAGGTTTTTTGAATGAGGAATAAAAATAAAAAAAAGTTCTAAGCCTGGAAAAGTTTGAAAACAGCCTTAGACATCTGTCTTTAAAAGTGCTTCATTTTTATTTTACGTGTAAGAACCGCTTGGGCTTTTAAAATCTTTACCAATTTGTATGTTGAAGTTCAAGGCTTAGAATGTTTTTTTAAAACAGCCCTAAAAATATCTTCGACAATTTTTTTTGGTTTAAAATTTCTCAAAGACCTTGAAATCCTTGAAAGTTTTTGAATCTGAAAAAAAAAGTTAATATCCTGAAAATTAGTTGAAAACAGCCATAAAAACACCTTGAAATTACTTGAGTTTTTTTTCAAGATTTGACATTTTACACAGGTCTTTAGAACCCTTGAGAGTTTTTGAATGTGAATAAAATGTCCATGACCTGTAAGTTTTTCAAACAGCCATAAAATTACACATTAAAAGTCCTTTTCTGTGCCTGCGAGGTTCCCGCAGGTGAATTACCAGTAGAGTTGAGTTAGTCATCAAGTTTGCGCGCTATATCGAGAAAATTTAGATTTCAGGATGAATTGCAAAACATTTCTGTCAACAGAATTCAAGAAAAAGCATTTTGTTTTTTGTCAGTGGTTGGAGATACGAGGTTATAAGATAACATTTTGAAACACATCTGCTGAAAAATCTTAACAGAACTAAACATGTCCATCTACTGTAGATATGAGTTAATTTAGTTTTCTCATTTAATTTGCATTATACTGAAATCACATTTACTCACACATGTGGTCCTTGAATTTAAGGTAATTGGTCCTGGCTAACCCCTTGGAATTTCTTAGATTTGATATTAACCAATATATTGAAACCAATATGACTGCCTTTGTTGCTTTTTGCTGATTATAGCTAACTGATAAAAAAAAAATCAAAAGTTTGGTATCTTAAAAAATTTACCATAAGATCAATTAAGGAAAAGGTAATTTCAGACAATTTGATCTGAAATTCTATTGACTTAAAACTACTTTTACTTGAATTACCGCATGTAGTGTTACTTAGAGGAGACCTGAGGCGGATCTGATGGGCCCCATAGTATAGTCTCATTGCAGGGTTCATGTTTGAACAGTTTGCTAGAAAAGCCTTTGACGTTGCTCAGAATGTGAGGTTTGAAGTCCATGTTTAGGTTGTTCTGTGCAAAGTGGCTGTTGATGACACCCTTTGTGAAGATCCCCCAAAACTCTTAAGCTTGAGTTGTGCTTGACATGTCCGCTAGGTCAAAATGACGTCATTTTGGGCTTCCTCTCGGAGCAACTATGAAATTTGTAACTATGCGGACGAAACCATGTGGAAAACATTATGAGCAAGCCTGGCGAAGGTTCACAAATGTAAAGATCTAGAGAACTCCCGTGATTTGGCTCGTAAATATTAATAACACATTCACTCCAGGAAAGAAAATTAATGTAGCTCTCGGATAGCATGGAGAGGCTATGATAAAGTTGTAAATGGCTGTGCTTTCTACTTTCTCATGTAGTGTGGTCATGTCAGTTTGCTCTTTGTTCTGAACAAAGACGAACCAGAACAGGAAAAAAATCTGCACAGGGTATAAATGCTGCAGACGCTTTGTTTTTTCCAAAAATTGATGGTCTCCCCAAGGCAATTCAAAAGTTGTTCATAGAGAACAATTTAGCAGCAGTCCTTGATGTTAAGTTTCACCTGTGCTTTTATTGTGAAATTCCGACAGCAAGACCTTGACAGGAAATGACATGGGGTTGCCAGGGGTAACGGCAGGTCAAAAGCAGAGAGTCTCAGAAGCTGGAGTTTAACCAAAAATTAAACAATCATTTCAACCACTAAATAAGGTCATAATGCCCACTGTTATATTCCGGGATTGTCATGTGATGTTATGTAATAGCTTTATATCAGGAAACGAGTGCAGCACACATCTGCTGGGATGGTGACATCATCAGCAGTAATGAAAAATAATTTATTTATTTATTTATAAATAATTTATTTAATTTTAAAACCAAATCAAGACAAACAGTTTTACCTGCAGAAATGAAGCAGGTCTGAAAAAGTAGGCTAGATCATTTTCATTCAGTTCAGGGCTTAATGGGGGGATAGTTGACCTCTGAGTGACCTAGAAAATAATCTTTATCTCTGAAACAACAACAGCACATGTGATCATTTTTACTTTTTTTAAATTATTATTTACTACAAATGACCATTTTAAATGCACAAACCTGCTCTAAAGAAGCAACAACCATTCAGCCCTATTTGATGCTGTGGTCCAGGGGGTAAACACAGTGTATCTGATATGCAGAGCAGTGAACTCCCTGCTGGGCTTGTGGAAATCACCGCCTGCTGTGTGAGTGCACCATTAGAAATAATTTGACCACCACAATAACCTCCTGTTCTGCTGCTGCGTGTATTTTAGCATATCTATGCATGAAATCCTGTTTGTTCTTATTGCTGTCCTGCTGGAAAATAACTTTATCTGTATTTCCTACATGTTATTGAAGATGGCGCACTGCCACAGGAAAATAAAAGCCTCCGCACCTTCATCATGAATAAAAAATTATACACTGTAAAAAAAAAAAAACCAAGAAAAAAAAAACGATATAACATAATGTAATATTAATAATTATAATTTGAAATAATTTCAAATGTTAAAAATACTTTATTTTGAAAAAACAGTGTTGCCGGTGTCATGCTAAGATAGTTCACCCAGCGAGAATCTGTATCCCCTCACCGGGACAGCACACGGAGTTCCTACCTACTAACTGAAACTTGAGATGTGTTATCTTTATGAAAGAGTAGTTTTGTTATTTTATTCTGAACTTCACATGTTATAGCAGAATATTACGGAAGAGGATTAGGGCCACTAAAAAAATAAAAAAAGTTAACTGATTTTTAAATATTATTTCAGTTTAATATGGGAAAAAAGTCAGAATTCTGACTTTAATCTCAGAATCCTAACTTTTTTCTCAGAATTCGGACTTTAATCTTAGAATTCTGAATTTTTTCTCAGAATTTTGACTGAATTCTGACATGTTAGCATCAAGCCGTAGCCATGTCTGTTTTAGAGACTAGCTCTTTTGTTTTAATCACCTTCTGCTCTTCCATTAATGAGGTAGCATCACTCCCACATCTCTTCCTTCATGGTGCCCATCTACATTGAGATCCAAGATTCTGAGATTAAAGTCAAAAATCAGAGAAAAAACTTTTTTCTTAAGTATAATATGAGAAAAAAAGTCAGAATTCTGACTTTGATCTCAGAATTCTGACTTGTTTCTCATATTATACTGAATTAAAATAAAAAAATCAGTTAACTGAGTGGGCCACTCAGGATTAGGCCACTCAGTGGCCCTAATCCTCTTCTGTAGAATATCGCCAGTGATATTGGTTTAAAAAAAAAAAAAAAAAACACGTGAGCGTTTGCTTTATAACAGGATGCTGACAGCACTGTAGTAGGGATGGAACGGTTTATGAAAACCATCTGAACCGTTCGGTTCGACTGCCTCGGTTCGGTTCGCGTGTGTTGCGTTCGGTTCATGCGCTGCTCCTTTTTGTCATAGGCAAAGCATGTACACTCCAGAGCAGAAGGTGGCGGTACTGCGACAAAGCCAACTACCAGTAGTAAACAAGAAGAAGAAGAAGCGAAGCATTTAGAGTGACCTATGATGACGGCGGAAAGAAAGTTGTGGATAAAATTGCAACAGTGTGCAAGCGTTGTGCAACACCTTGTGTTTATGCTAACAGCAACACGACCAACATGTCTTGCTAACCCCGAAATCCCACATACTCCGTCAGCGCTCCGCTGCGCTCCAGACCGCCTGCACAAAGCAAAGCCTACAGCATCCACTGTGGCTCCCGTCCGCTCCGCTCTGAGTTCCTTGTAGATCGTAGAGAGCATGCGCGAAATGATTACATTCAAAGCAGCAAAACATGCGGAAATGATCCAGGGTTTCCGCGAATCATTAAAAATGATTACAATTCATTAATTTTTTGGATTTTTTCATTTATTTCATTAATTTTTATGGGATTTCGGGCTAACAATCAACGTATACCGAACCGAAAACCGTGACCACGAAACCGTGAACCGAACCGAACCGTGGATTTTGTGAACCGTTCCACCCCTACACTGTAGACTCCTTTCTCTAAAAGCCAACGGCTCCTTGTTTGTATCAACATGTCCCATAAAGAATTACCTCATTGTATCACGGTGTCTGAATATTCTCATCTCATTGAAAACTGTTGTCATCATATAATATAAAAAAAAAACTGATGTCAAATGTATTCTTATTATAAATATAAAATGGTAAATGGAGTGTACATGACTTTACATTTCTGTATTTTGCACTACCCATATGGAATTGAGGTAGGGTGGCCAGATGTCCGGCTTTAGGGCGGACAGTCCGGATTTTCATTACACTGTCCGGCGGCCGGCGCCGCACCCAGCCGGATGTGTATTTGTCCTCCTTTACCCCCAGATTCCACATACTCCGTCAGCGCTCAGCTCCGCTCATGTACATCATGCGGAGTACTTGTCTGTCATGTAAATCAATGAGAGCTGTTCCACATCCTCCGCTACTCATCCGCACATCTCTGTCCACGTACGTCTTCTCTGTCCTTCACCATCAAAATACGGAACTGAGCTCTTTATTTGCTCCGCTCCGGTCAGTCCAGATCAAGACCCGCAATTGCAATCACACCAAACAGGAAAAAGAATGTACAGAAGACCCTGTTTATTAAATTAAATTATAGTAAAAACAGATCGGTAACTAGAAATTAGAGCATAGTTCGTATATAATCCAAAAAGCTAAGAGCAATTAATTAAATAATTGGATGCAGACTATTGGTGCTTCAACAGACCAGGAAGAAGTTGTGAGATTCTAGAGCGAATCTCACAACTTTAAAAGAAAATTCTTATTGCAGGAATGGATGAGATGATGAGTTTGGAAGCAGAGAACAAACAGAGTTCATACAACCTATGGATGATCCTAGCTATTCCTGTTACAAAAATCCACAACAGAAAGAAAATATTTGGGCAGAAACTGAACATCTGCTGGATGATGATGGGGATTTTTTTTAAATATGTCATATTTAATTAAACTTTCACATGGTTTATACAGGAATGAGGAACTCTAATTTAATGCTCTTTTAATGCTATTAGAACTCATTTTAATGCCATCAACAAGTATCATGTACACAGTTCCATGACTCAAGTTATGTACACCTTAGTAATTTATTGATATGCACCTTTTTGGTGCTATAGAAATGGCCACCCTAAATTGAGGCGGAGTGATGTTGATCAGCTCTTTTTATTCCATGCGTGCACCCGGTAAGGGGATTCAAATTCTGGGGGGGATAACTACTTTAGCATGACACTGGCTCCTCTGATTGCTGTGAATTATAATAAATAATAATTTAACATTATTGATCTAACCAATTTACCTCTGCATTTAACCCATCCCCTTGGGGAGCAGTGGGCTGCCATTGTGCAGCGCCCGGGGAGCAGTGTGGGGTTAAGAGTCTTGCTCAGAGACCCAGAGTCTGTGGGAGTCGAACTCAGAACCACAAGCTCTCAGCCCTATCCACTAGGCCGCCCCTCTCCAAGAGAAGCTGGTTAGCATATGAAGCTAACTGGTGGCCGCTGTGCTGCTATGGCAGACCACTTGAGCCAACTATGTTGTTTTATTTGGGGTCTTTTTAGACCCTTTAACATTTTTTCAAGAAGCAATTAGAGACAAACTTAGTGACTTTTATCTTCTTTTTTTGGCGAGTTAAGTGAGTTCCCCTGAAAGCAGCGAACTTGCTGCTCTGAGGTCAAATGGATGAAAACATGTCTAGTTAGGAATTTCTCTTTTTTTTTAACATCTTAAACGTTTGTTTCCATCCAGCTCTGGCATATTTTAAGCAGAGTTTCTGTAATTTTCCCTGTTTTCATTATCATTCACGTTTTGCAGCCTTTCACTGACTGATACCTTTGTCCAGTTAAATCCCTGTGATCTCTTATTAGATTTAGCTGAAAGGAAAAGTCTGGTCAACTCATCAGCAGCTGGATCGTTTAAATTTTTAACCGTCCCATTGCCAAGACCCGATTGTTGGATTTGTATTTCTTCTTCTTCAGCCTTGGTGCTAAGGCGACATCTGCTGATGTTCATCAGCTCCAGGCACTGTCAAACTAAAGGCATAGCAAGTAGCCATTTTCATTTAAGAATGTGAGATTCTACTGGTTTGCCCCTTCATGGTGCACGTCAGGCATCAGCCTGGAAACATTTACTATGGACGGCCTGCAGAATGACACAGAGAGCTTAAACAGTGATGGAAAAGCTCCGTTTAACTTTGATTGGGTGCTTGGACTTTGATGAAATCCAGAATGAAAAGTGCAAACGATCTGAGCATCTTTTCCAACAGCAGATCTCTGCAACATGATCATGTCCTCTTAAATTATGGTTAGTTGGGCAATAAAGCAATATCAATATTTATTGTAAACAGAGACCCGATCAGCACCGAGGGGAAACGTTCTATAATTTCACTGAACTCGCTCGGCAGTCTTTGGGTTGGGGAGATTTAGCCAAACTAAGCAGGGTTGGTTTCAGGCCTGGCCTTTTTTAAAAGCTTACGTTTAAAGAGGAATATAAGGATATAGGCGTTTAATGTCAGATGATATCGGTAACTTTTCCTTTTAGGTTTGAATCGATGGATGATATTAATCGTAATTATTTAAGTTATCAATTAATCTGATTGTTTCTCCCCTGATGTTAAGTCATGTTGTGCTTCGGAGGGCTAATAAAGTGTTTATGTTCTGTTCAGGCCTGAACACTGAAGGTTTGTACCGTGTGAGCGGCAACAAGTCGGAGATGGAGAGCATGCAGAAGCAGTTTGAGCAGGGTGAGTGGGATCTGCCATCTCCTCTCTCTGTAAACACAAAGATGGGATCGTCAGCCAATGGGAAGTTGTCCTTTTCTCATCCTGAGCCTTTTTGTTGTGTTCTCCATGCAGACCATGGATTGGACCTGGTGGAGAAGGACTTCGCCATAAACACTGTGGCTGGAGCTCTCAAGAGCTTCTTCTCAGAGCTGCCTGAGCCCCTGGTGCCTTGTGCTCTGCAGGTGGAGCTATTGGACGCTTTCAGTAAGCAAACCCTGCTGCGCTGGGAGGGGTGGCTGGTTTCATCAGGAGGGAAGAGGCGGAGGGAGCTCTCATGTTTTTCTTCAGTGTCTGAGAAGAAAGCTTTCTCTGGTCATCCAGTATGGAGGGTTTTTTTTATCAGTATCGTTAAAAGCAAAGAACACATTTTATAGAAAAATCATATTTTTTTTTTTAAGCATTTTTTTTTAGAAGAAAATCTGAGTGAGCGTATATTTGCTCCCCAGATAACTTTTTTATTATTAAAATGTTTATAATAATTTTCATTTTTTGGTCTTTTTTTGCTTGAAACAATAGAAAAAATGTCCCTCCGTGATCTGAGCTGAATTCTGATTGGTTGGATTCTGTTTGCAGAAATCATGGACAGGGAGCAGAGGCTGTACGCCATGAAGGACGTCCTGAGGAAGTTCCCCAGAGAAAACTACGATGTCTTCAGATACGTAGTGAGCCACTTGAACAGGTGAGCCTCCATGAGAACCGTCATAGAAACCGCGGCAGGAATTCAGACCCTGAGGAGGACGGAGGGGTGTGAGCGCTGTTGTGAGGCCCTGTGTGTGTTTTTGTTCTCAGGGTGAGCCAGCTGAGCCGGGTGAACTTGATGACCAGCGATAACCTGTCCATCTGTTTCTGGCCCACCCTCATGAGGCCTGACTTCACCACCATGGACGCCCTGACCGCCACGCGCACCTACCAGACAATCATCGAGACCTTCATCCACCAGTGCGCGTTCTTCTTCTACAACCAGCCCCTCATCGACTCCCCGACAGGCCTGGGCGGCCTCCCCGCCTCGCCCACCACCACACTGGGCGGGAGCTCCGCCTACTCCTGCTACCGCTCCTCCCCCCCACACACCGCCGCACATTTTAGCCCCCTGCAACAGCAGTCTCCGCCCACCACCCCGCAGTCGCCCCTGCAGTCCCTGCTGCCCCCGCTTCACCAGCACCCCCACGCCCACCACCCCCCTGCCGAGCAAGAGACACTGTGAGAGAGACGCCACGGCCGTGCGCCCTCGCCAATGCTGGACCTGAATGCCGAGACGCATTCGAACGCCAGAGATTAAAAAAAAAACAAAAACATGAAACACATGAAGATGGGGGGGGGCAGTTGTGTGAAACGTGGCATGCTTCAATTATCTGATACCGGGCGGGGCGGGTGACTGGTGGCCGCCATGATGGTTTTATTACGTGTAAAATTCTTCTTTTTTTTTTTTTTTTTTTTTTAAGAGTACCGCCACTGGATATAAGGAGCCGGCGCCTCTGAAGCAGAGGATCCTTCTCAGCCTTATTCTGTTTCAGCCTTTCTCATACTTGTTTGGGGGGGGCAGGCAGAGGAATGGGGGGGGTTACGTCCAGGGATGCACTTTAATGATCACTGTTTCCTTTATCTCTAGTTTCACACGGACCCGTTGGCCTCAAGCAGCTCCGGCAGATCAAACCTTGTTTACATCCGGTTTGTTTTTGGTTCAACCTTTTCTGAAGCACTTTTTAATAGTGTAGCATAAAAAATGAAGAAATGCCACGGAGGGAAGGGTGGGTGGGGGGGTTCATGATGATGATGCGTCTGTTTCTTTTTCTTTCTTATGTAGTGGCTTTGGAGAGGGGAGGGGGTGTTGTTTTTGTTCGAAAAAAGGGGGCAAAAAGGCAAGTAATCCCCCCCCCCCTCAAATGGGAAAGTCTGAATCTCTTTGAAGTTCATCGTTCATCTTTCTCTCCTCTTGGATTCTGATTTATCAGACTGCTGAAGGACCGTCACCATGTTGAATGTCTCACATCATCATCATCTGGTATCCATGGAAACCAAAATGCTTTAAGCGCAGTACATTGCTAGCCGTAGCTCTTCGCATTCGTTTAAGAGCCTTTAACTGGGGTGGGTTGATGTTGATTCTGCTGATTCAGAACCGGATCGGACTGGTGGGGAGCGCTTCCGGAAACGTTCGCTCAGCGGCAGCTTTGCAAATGAAGGTTCTGTAAAGAAAACCCCTTCGGATGGCGGAGGATTGTCCGTCCGTTTTACTGGTACTGTTGGGAATTTTTCGTTTTTATTGGACTGGAACAGAGAAAAAGAAGAAAAAAAATGAAGTGTTTTCCTCAGACTGATCCTGAAGCTTGGCCTTTCTGGTTCCTGGGAGTGTATAAATAAAAGCATCTCTGCATCATTCGGCTTTTAGCAAGAAAACAAAAAAATAATGGAAAAAAAAAATTCCCCATCAGATGTACCGTTGGAAGGATGAAGTGGGTGCACACCTCGTTTCCGTTAGGGTTGTTTATTTGTATGTCGGGGGGGAGGGAGGGGAGGGGTGCACGTCGCCCTTTAGTTGATGGTAGAAAACATTTCTAGTGCGTATTTCAATTATTGGAGTTTCCTTTTTACAATTTTTGTGAATGGTTTAAAAGGCCACTTGAAATTAGTGCATGACTTGAAAAAAATAAAAATAAAAAAAACACATGAAGGAAGGAGGATGGATTTCCTCTTCCTGGTTTTAAAACATGAAGTAAGCGTGAGAATGAGACTGGTTTAGCTGCAAAGGTTCATGTAGTGTGTGCACCGGCAGGACGTTTAAAAATGAAGGCCTTATGTGAAACTGTACAATAGTTAATAAATTAAATCTTGTAAAACTTCCTTCGAAGCTCTTCGTCTTTTCATTTGATTGTCAAAATGTAATACTGCAAAAAAAACGGCAAGATATCTGATCCGGTCAAAGATCCTTAGAAGTTGCCAAACAAATGATAGTTTGTAAAAGATTTCAAGTGCCTTTGTTGATTTTGATGTGATAGAATTAAGCGTCTTTCCCACTGAAAATATTGGGTTAATGTGTGTTTTTCAAACATGGTCGACCCGCTAACTATCTGCCTTTGGCTCCCTTCCCATTGGCTAAAAAAGCTGGTCTAACCCCTCGCTGGCAGCTGCGTGGCCCCTGACCCTCCATGGCTGCCTGTCTGGTGACATCATCACGTTGGGTTAGTGTGGCAGCTCACTGAAACGAGTCTGCAAGTGACCTGCGTTAAAATCACCTTGGCTCTGATCGGCATGATGTGGTAACGCCACAGCCAGGTTGAAATGCTAAATTACATGATACCATTGAAGGCAACGTACAGTCGTCAACACACTGCGCCAGTCGCTTTTGATCTAACAAGCAGAAACACGTTTACATTCGATAAACATGGAGCAGCTCTGGGGAGAGGGATTCAGATAGATAATAGAGTGAAACAATAAAGCACACTGACTACGCCCTGGCTTCCTTCCATGTTGCTCTCCATTGTTTACTTTCCTGATGTCTGTTGCACTGGTGACATCATCAGTGCTAGCGTGATGATGTCACCAGACACGCAGCGGCGGGGTTAGCTGCCAGTGAGGGGTTAGATCAGCTTTTTTAGCAAATGGGAAGAAAACCATGCTGATTGTTAGCGGGTCGAACCACGTTTGAAAAACATGCGCGCTAAGTTCAGTGGAAAGACCCAGCCCGCACTTACCATATACAAAACAAAATTTCAAAAACAAAACACAGATTTCATCTTTGAATGTTTATACTTAAAAAGACAGCAAAGCTGTCCTATCCCAAGCATTAACAATTAAAGAAGCAAATGCCAAAATTACCCATCATACATCCAATTAAGAATGTAATCCTCCTCCAGCCAAACAAAGTCTGCATATCCTCTATTTCTGCATTAAAATAAGAAAAGTGTCCACTCAGAAAAATGGGTTTATCTCCATCCTGCAGGAAGGTAAAACACATCCTGGGTTTGCACGTTTTAACTAATTTTCTTCCTTTATCTTTAATCCAACTTTCCTCTGACCAGCATCAGGAAAAGCCTCCCCATCACTGCTGGTTTTCATCCACACAGCAATTTGTCAAGTTAGGTTTTAACTAGTGTGAAAACCTTCACCAGGTTGAGTTTCTGGCCTAAATGGCTTTTGTTAAATTTTACATGTGAATCTTTAAGGTTTTCTATAACCTACTTATACCTAGTTCTCTAAATGGAAATTAGAAAAAAAATAAAAATAAATCCAGAAATTAAACTTTGAAAACTCAATCATAAAAAAAGTTTCAGAGTAACTGCTTTTGCTAATTGTTTCAAATTACTTTTTTTTTTTTTTATTATTATTAGTTTAATCTTTTGATTTTGTTTTTAAAGTTCTTAACATTTTATTTTGTCAAAATGGCTTTTTTAGATTAAATTTCACAGCTGGAAATTCATCAGATCTTTTGCAAAAATAGGGTTTGAAGAAATAAAACGTAAAAAATTTATTTTGTCCTATTAACTTCTTATTGTTTTGTATTTTAACTAAAATCAATACAAGTTTTAAAATTAGATCCAAAAAAACCCCGCAAAGTCACTCCAAACACCAACACCTACCGGTATATCAGCACTCCAACCAGAACCATTCATCAGGAAGGGAAGGGATCAGCTGAAGGCTTTTAACTACAGTTTGTGGACTTCCTGATAATAAAGAATTACAATAGTCCAGCCTTGAAGTAACAAATGCGTGGACTAGTTTCTCAGCATCACACCTGGACAGGATATTTCTAATCTTTGCAATATTTCTGACATGGAAATGTTACAAACCTTTCATGTGAGATTTGAATGGCAAGGCCTGAACAAAAATAACACCCAGATTTTTTTACATTATGTGAGACCAATTTAATGTAGTATTATTCAGTACTTTGTGTTGGCGTATCATATTAAATAGCATTAGAAGTTCTTGGTTATGATTTGTCATGCGTTGAAAACATTCAAGAGATAAGAATATGTTTCCATGGCAATAAGCATTTTATTTTTAAAGCTGTAGAAAAAAAAAACCTAATCGTCAGTAAATGTTTTTCTTCGTCAGTAGGTGAAGTGCTGCTGAGCAGGAGCTTTAGTGTAAATGCATCGGTGTATGAGACTCTGAGGAACATCTATTATTCACTGCATATCCGTCATGACCGGCTGCACCCCTTTAGGAGGCACCTGTTCGCTGCTGTATCCTTCCGCCTGTCCGGGCGGCTCGGGTTTGGAAAGGGTCAATGCGCCACCTTGTGGCGGCTCAGAAGAAGAGCAGAAAAAGATGAGGGCGTGTCTCTTTCTAACAGACCTACGAATCTAAGAAGAACAAAACTCCTCCAGCTTGGTGGCTCATAGTTTAATATTTTTTTTTTTTACCTAAATGAGGAGTTTTTTTTTTTGTTAAATTAACGTTTTGATTTGCTTGGTTTTTACACTGGGTTCTACTGGTTATCCGTTATGTTATGGTCCAAAGCTGTGAGGGGGATTTAATTTGCTGCTTTACTAGAGCTGCCACTAGAGGGCAGCACAAACAGCAGGGGGCGTTATACCTTTAAAAAAAAAAATTTTTGGCTTTATTTAAAATTCGCTTCCTTTAAAAGTGCAGCATTCTTGTAAGAATAAAACTAATTAAAATTATAGAACTTAAGAATTACAAAAGAAAAATACCAAAACTAAACACCAAGATATACAAATTATGAAACTAAGCTTAAAAAGGGAAAAAAAATGTAAAATGCAAGTATAAATGGGTGTTGCAGAGTTAAGTTGTTTGCATAACATTCTTTTTGGTTTTCATAGCTTTTAGATAGTAAATGAAAAAAAAAAAAACTCCTATGCATTTCATTACTTTGATTAATATGAAACTAAGACTTAAATTAATTAAGACTTAAAAACAAGTCTTTCATCTTGGAATCTATGAGAGAAAACATTTTAAAAGTAGAAAATTGAAACCTGGTGCTACTAAACCTTGTTGCGGTAAGAGGTCTCCATAATCCGAATAGTTTTGGCAGATTCAAACAGCTGTGGATTAAACTCATCTAATTAAATTCATTTTTACTGATATCAAGAATCAGAATGGAGCATTCAGATGCTAATATAACAATCTACTAATTAATATTAACATGAACAACATATGGTGACAGTTGTAACAGCAATTTATTTACCAACAAAACTTGTTTTTCATCGTACTATTTTTCTAAATTATTACCTTATTCAACTATTTTACTTGAATATTTGTCCTTTTCCTGTCTTCTAGCTTACTGGGGTTCAGGAGGGGACCCCCAGAGTATATGTAGGAAATCCTG